TACCAATCGTTGAACACAGTAAACGCAAACTTTGGACTAAAATAATTGACTAAAAACAAAACAACAACAACCGAGCCTTAGTGTTATGTAAAACACTGGCTAAGAATAACTTAAAATGAACCGCTGTATAAATAGCAATATTGCACTTTATGGAAGTGTTATAATAATGGAAACATCGGAACAATAACCAACAATAATTTGTCAATATAACTAGTAAGCTAAAGGATCTTTTCTGACAACTTCAGGTGTACTGGGCAAATAGGGCATGACTTATATTTTATAGAACAATCGGTACTCAGTGGGTGATGTAACATTATTTATGGCTGGATCAACATTGCAGCCATGGTCATTTGTGAGAAAAAATAAGTCTGCTCCCTTCAGGACTTGAATCCACGACCTTCGGACCTGCAGGTGAACGTCTACCTACACCATGGTGGCTTCCGATTATAACATAAACATATTACATACCAAGCTTTTCTATTGTTCGAAGAGCTGGACGCTCGCCTGCAAAGCCGTAGGTCTTGGGGTTCGAATTCGCATAATTGACTTTGTCGAAGATTCACCCAACCTACCCTGGGTACCAGGAAATTTCCTGGAAAGTAAAGGCGACCGGCGCGATGTTGACTACAGCACTCGCCGCATGCCATTCTATAACAGTATGAGTCATACGCCTGAAAGGGGAGCCAAAAAGGGGTGATTAAAATAACACATTTAAAATAACCACCCAAAAAAAAAAAACACCTTCACCTTGACTATAAACACAAGATTGGGAAAACAAGTGGGGAAAACAGCCAAACAAATTATTCATACCGTAAATAAAAAAGTGTGAAGATAAGATAATTATAACAACAAACCGAGTATGGAAATAACGGAATTATAACAACAACCCGAGCGAGTGCGCCAAAAGGCTACAAAGGCGGGATGGAAGGAAGGAGACAAAATGTCAACACATTAACTGACTAGAATACATTTTCAAGTTGTATATAATAGAGAAAAAAAGTCAAGTAAGCCAACTCTGTGTAGACCAGAGCTAGTCAACAAGGTTTGCTCTGGGGCCAAAATGTTGAACATGGGGATCGTCATGGCGCAGCCTAGACCGGTCGTTAATAGTTACAGTACAACTGACAATGATCCGCCGGTCACTTGTTAGGCCTGTGTCTGTGGGCCACTTGTTAGGCATCTGTGGGTCAATTGCTAGGCATCTGTAGGCCACTTGTTAGGCATCTGTGGGCCACTTGTTAGGCATCTGTGGGTCAATTGCTAGGCATATGTGGGTCACTTGCTAGGCATCTGTGGTCACTTGCTAGGCATCTGTGGGCCCCTTTCTAGGTATCTGTGGGCCCCTTGCTAGCTATCTGTGGGCACTTTCTAGCTATCTGTGGGCCACTTGCTAGGTATATGTGGACCACTTGCTAGGTATCTGTGGGCCACTTGCTAGGTATCTGTGGACCACTTGCTAGGTATCTGTGGGCCACTTGCTAGGCATCTGTGGACCACTTTCTAGGTATCTGTGGGCCATTTGCTAACTATCTGTGGGCCACTTGCTATCTATCTGTGGGTCACTTGCTAGCTATCTGTGGACCCTTTCTAGCTATCTGTTGGCCCCTTGTTAGGTATCTGTGGACCACTTGCTAGGTATCTGTGGACTACTTGCTAGGTATCGGTGGGCCCCTTGCTAGGTATCTGTGGGCCACTTGCTAGGTATCTATGGACCACTTGCTAGCTATCTGTGAACCACTTGCTAGGCATCTGTGGGCCACTTGCTAGGTATCTGTGGGCCACTTGCTAGGTATCTGTGGGCCACTTGCTAGGTATCTGTGGGCCACTTGCTAGGTATCTGTGGGCCACTTGCTAGTAATCTGTGGGCCACTTGCTAGGTATCTGTGGGCCACTTGCTGGATCCACTTGCTAGCTAGTGGACCACTTGCTAGGAACCTGTGGGCCCCTTGCTAGGTATCTGTGGGCCACTTGCTAGCTATCTGTGGGCCACTTGCTAGCTATCTGTGGGCCCCTTGCTAGGTATCTGTGGACCACTTGCTAGGTATCTGTGGGCCACTTGCTAGGTATCTGTGGGCCACTTGCTAGGTATCTGTGGGCCACTTGCTAGTAATCTGTGGGCCACTTGTTAGGTATCTGTGGGCCACTTGCTAGGTATCTGTGGACCACTTGCTAGGTATCTGTGGGCCCCTTGCTAGGTATCTGTGGGCCCCTTGCTAGGTATCTGTGGGCCCTTTGCTAGCTATCTGTGGGCCACTTGCTAGGTATCTGTGGACCACTTGTTAGGTATCTGTGGGCCCCTTGCTAGGTATCTGTGGACCACTTGCTAGCTATCTGTGGGCCCCTTGCTAGGTATCTGTGGACCACTTGCTAGGTATTTGTGGGCCCCTTGCTAGGTATCTGTGGGCCACTTGCTATGTATCTGTGGGCCACTTGCTAGCTATCTGTGTGCCTTATTCGGCCCACGGACCGCCTTGTCAATATCCCAGCTGTGGAGGGTTTAGACTGTACACTGTGTTGTCACCGGTGCTTCTTCTGCCTATCATCAACATCAGCCTTGTTGTGTGTCGATTATGCGTCACACGGAGCTGACAGTCTATTTCTCTACTCCGTTCTATCCTACTTAATCTTGTATAGATTATGGATAGAATTCACTCCGGCACTTTCATCTATCTCACGAAAGTGTGTTTTTCCGCAGTCCAATTATTTCTCATTTCACTGCCTGTCTGGGGTTCCTCTGTCTGCTTCTACACAAGTCTGTCGCCATACATTTCTGTGTTAGAATGCAGGCTATCACAGATTTGGGTCGAGCTGCTTCTTGCTACTGCCTTTTGTTGCTAGCGTGGCTTAATACGCAGAGGATGAGAATGCTTGTTGTTGCAAAGAGGAGGAGAGAGAGAAAGAAGAAGAAAAAGAAAAAGTGGTGGGGGGGGGAGGTCAAAGAGGAGGATGATGAGCTGCAGCAGCAATTGCAGAGGAGGGAAACAATATTACAAATTTAAAAAAAAAAAGGTTAAAAAAAAGCTCACTGACTAGATCGCATATTCTTTGAGTTATGCCACATTCAATCTGCGTCAAAAATAAAACGGCAAACTTCCGCAAACAATCCAAATGTCACGGTGAACTATATTTCTCTTTCAAAACTGTCTTCTGATCTTGAAATCGCTTCACTCACACCATTTAGTATTAACAAAACAAAGAAACAAAAATCTCTTGTCTGAAAAAAAAAAAAAAAAGGAAGCCCTACCGAAACAACCCATTTATTCAAGGCCTGTATTTTCTCTCTCCCTTATGTTCTTTTTAAGGCATCTTCTTCTAGCTTAATGTAGTCAACCATTATAAGTGAGTATCAATAACTTTCTAGATCGCGTTCGTTCACACGAGATTACAACGATTATCCCAAGGTGAAGATATCCCATTAAATTAATCACCAATCCGCGCAGCTATTACAATCATGGCGTCGCTTTGAATCCGACATTTGATTGGATGGTGCGTTGGAGAATAAACTATAACGGCTGCCTTACATCTTCTAATTATTTCAGCTGTGTGTCTGATGTTTCTCATGTATCCATCGTAACATTTCATTCTGGGTACAACTGAAGAGCAAGGGGAAGGGCAGCCTCTACCCTCCTCCCCCAACCCCCTCCCCCAACCCGCCCAAAACGTCGTAATTAAGCCAGCGCCTTCGTCAGGGAAATGAGAGCTCCACCCGAACAGAATGTCAACTATTAAAAGTTGGTTGAGTCATCGGGCTGTGGTTCAGCGTGCAGCAGACTGCCTGGAATCGGGTTGTCATGAGAGTAGTAGACTGCAGACGCCATGGTTAAATCCCTAACACAAGTAGATACGCACAAACACAAACACACATATAACCACACTGTCAAACCCCCACAAGTTCGGAGCGGGGGCAATGAATATTGATTTTGAGCAAATAAGAAAGTCTAGAGCTGGGGAACATTACTTTACTGGTGTGTGTGTGGGGGGGGGGGGAGAGGGAGGGGAGGGGATTGCTGGAGCTGCACTCGTTCCTGATGTGAGTTTCTGGGGGAGGAGGTGTGTACTCGTTCCTGATGTGTGTTATCTGTGGTGGTGGCGTGAGGGTAAACTCGCTGTCTGATGTGGCTCCCCATTCCTTCATTTGTGCGGTTGTTCATTCACTAGTGTGGGTGTGCACTCGTCAATTGGTGGGGGGAGTCCGTTGTACACATATCTACTCGTTAATTTGTGTGTGTATATGGGTGTCTAATCGTTCAATTGCTCATCATATCGTCCGCGGGAAACATGGACAATTGTCTTTATCTCCCCCCCCCCCCCCCCTTTCCACAAAAACCCCAACCAAAAATCTAACCCTGGTAACTCAATATATGTGAAACACGCTCACTCCCGTGTAAGTCAGGCATATGCCTAATTTATAAAGCTCTAAGACAGAATGTATGTAGTCTTCGTTGGGGATTTCTGATTTATAACTTCCAAAACACGCAAAGTTGTTGCATGTACACAGCAACATAACATAAGTATTCGTATAACATCAAGAAGACTAGGAAGAGGAAACAAAAATGTACTAGATCTGTTCAGTATAAAACATTCACTCCCTCACATCCAAGAATATATTGCCATTTAGATTCACAAATCGGAAGGACAGTCGATACTCAGCCTTGACCAGTTCTCGTGGTCTTCTTCGGAAATGTAAGCCAATTTTTTTTTTAAAACAAATCCAGATCATCTTTAGAAGTATTTATGGCCCGCCGTTAGAAGAATCAATGAGTCACTTCTAGAAGCGTCAGTGGACCATCTCAAGATTCATGAATGGACCATCTCAACAACCATGAATGGACCATCTCAAGATTCATGAATGGACCATCTAAACAGCCATGAATGGACCATCTCAAGATTCATAAATGGACCATCTCAAGATTCCTGAATGGACCATCTCAAGGTTCACGAATGACCATCTTAAGATTGATGAATGGACCATCTCAAGAAGGATGAATATGTAGAAGCATCTACTGATCGCCAAGCTGCTCCATCCAGTTGGGCGACTTGAAGAAGTCTGGCAGGGTCTCATCCATGCGAGCAATGATCTTGTAGATGGACTTCTTCCAAGAAGGCTCCACGTCTTTGTTTGACTGCACAGCTTTGAAGAACTCTTTCAGAGCAGCTTGAACTGCAGCAAGGAAGTTGAGCGGGACCTAGTGGGAAAGAAAAGAACACGTAAGCAAAGGATCAGCAAATGTTTACACTGTTTAGTTTATGAAGAAGAAGACTGAAAACAAATTATAAGAGAGCTTCTTGATGGTCGTGATGATAATATTGGTAGTGTTGATGGTGATGATGGTGGTGGTGTGGTGGTGGTGGTAATGATGATGATAATGATGATGATAGTGGTGGTGGTGGTGGTAATGATGATGATGGTGGTGGTGTGGTGGTGGTGGTAATTATGATGATAATGATAGTGGTGGTGGTGGTGTGGTGGTGGTGGTAATGATGATGATGGTGATGGTGGTGGTGGTGGTGGTAATGATGATGATGATGATAATGGTGGTGGTGGTGTGGTGGTGGTAGTAATGATAATGATGGTGGTGATAATGGTGGTAGTGGTAATGATGATGTATAATTTCGATGGAATAAATCTGCCTGTTGGTTATTTTCATTGCTGTACGTAGCTGGGACAGTACATAGAAATGCCATCGTGGTTCTGTTGTCATTTATAAATACAGATCACGAACGTATTTTAGACTTTTGATATACAGTCTGCTGTATCAAATTAAAATATTTCCTTCTGACTATCCAGAAAAAGCAGTCCACTATCTAAACATACCACAAACCCGCAGCATAGTCCCGTTATTCTCCCTTCTGTGGCACCTTTAGAGCTTTATATCTGATAATGTTAACGGCAGCAAGACACTGTCCCTTAGCACGCGACAGAGTTCCATCGACCGACAAGACTGGCCCCTTCAAGACAGACAACACCAAAAGACGATCGTTTTGTCCAACGAGAGACGCTGACACACCAGCCAGCATACGACAGCAACAAACCGGCGCCCTTGCAGTGCAACATTCTTGAAGATTGTCCCTCCACAAGTCTTCATTGATCTGCTCCACCCTCCGAGTCCCACAAGTCGTCGGCAATATCTCCAGTTGCTTTGTTCTTCCGCCTTTAAAATTCCTCAAAATTCGGCCACGATGGCTCCTCGATCGATCCGCAAGCAAGAGGTCTTTCGTGGGCGGAATGAAACCTCTTTGGCAAATTTCAAGATTCTGGTAACCTTGTCAGGAGAGGTATTTCTGGAGCGCTCATCGTAATTTATAGCTTTGTTCTTCTTTCGTTTCCTCGTCTTTTACTAATTTATTTTCAATACTGTTCCTTTTTTTTTTTTCTCAATAAAACACTGTCATTTTCTATGTTTATTTTATATCCATTCAAGAAAAAAATGTTTGTATGTTTTCTTTCTCATTTATATTATTTTCATTTTATTTTACTTTTTCCCATGTTTGCTGGACATCACACATCTTTTATGTTATTCTTTTTCTGCGATATCTCAGCTCGCATTCCCTTTGGGTATAATTACCTCTTGTCGATTATTATTGACATTAACGCGCTTTCATTTCCCTCTTTGTTTATTTTAATTATTCGTAATTAGCATTTTCTTTTGCTTCTTTTCCTACCTCCTAATTATCTATGCCATACTCTTTATTATCCTTCTTTCCTTTCGTATCAATCAGTTTTCTTTCTCCGAAAATCTTTGTAATCGTCATCCCCCCAAAAATTCTTCAACCTCCACCTACCGAAAAAACAAAACCACATTCATTCTATTCCTTCTTGTCGATTTTATTATGGTAATTATTCTTTCTACAAAATTTTTGTTTGTATCGCTTTGTTTTTCGTCTCTTTTTTCCCCCTCAATGAACACATTTGAAAGTTCTCATTGCTGATTAAAGTGCGCGGCGCGTTTCTTCCATAAGCGCCAATTTTCGCTTACCCGATTTGACGTCTAAAACACGATTTTGTTTCATTACACAATCGGCACAGTGGGAGTGCATTGTGCAGCTTCTATCGGGATTACAGAATGGGCGCATCGTCATTCTTGTTGCTTACATCGAGGCCAGAACAACCCTGTTTGTTCATAGACGGTCTAGCGTGGGGTACAGCTCCCGTATCGTTGGGCCGGGGTGCGGTAAATGTCATTTGTTTTGTCAATTAGTTCATCAGGCTGAAGCGTGTAGCACAATGCTGCACCAGAAGGGAAACTCAAGTGAGATTAGTTTTACGTCTAGCAGTCTGTTTATGCGTCCATATCCCTATGTAACCGTCAGTCCATCCATTAATCCATTTACCCCATCATCCACTTATCCATTCATCTCGTCTTCCTACCCTAAAGATAGGTTTTGACACAGGATTGCTACATCTTCATTAATGGTATTTTCTAACTTCTTCTTCTTTTCTTCTACCCGCCTACTTCTCCCAAGTCTCTCACACGTGACCCTTGGCTTATGTATCTGCTGAGTCACAACCAATTTGGACGCTTGAAATAGATTTTCCCAAGTGAAAAACAATATCATAATACCAATATTAGGAAATGTTAAACTACCATCATTAACATAATAAATACCTAATAATTATCCTTCCCCCTTTACCCCATCTCTCCCCACTCCCACCCCACCTTTGCGTCGACTGGTCTATACAAATATAGAACAAATACCATATTTCCATAAGCGCGGTAAAAAGATCACATTTTCTTACTCTCATCTCTTTCTCTCCCCCCCCCCCCCCTCCTAGCTTACTCTCTTTTCTTTTTTTCGCTGCACTACCCTACCTTTCTCTAGTTCCCTAATTCACTTTCATCCTATATTTCTTATCCTGTATTTCTCATACTCCTCCCCGGCCCCCACGCTACCCCGCTCCAATCTCTCTCTCGGTTACGCTCGTTTTACTCCTACTCCGAAATGGCCGCCCTAACATAAGCAGCCAGTTTCATAGCACGCGTCTCAGATAGAGGCTAATCTAATCACGTGACGGGAAAAACCAAAACCGCTCTTTCGATAAAAGAAGGCAAAAAAAGGACGCTTCCCTTATAATCGGATCAAGCGGATTGCCTCCCGTTGAAGAATACGATTGTCCCAGGGGCGTGTTATCCTTGAACCCCCTCCCAAATCACAAGAACCACTTGCCCCAGCAGGGAGCTCTGGAGGATATGAAAGCCCGTTGAGGAATGACTGATCATCGTTTAAGGGTGGATCAACAATCGTTCTGGCCTGCAGCCTGACATGGACGCTATGGCACCCACCCATGATATCCACGTGGCCCCGTGGTTCATCAGCTAAGTGAAGATATCTGAGCCGTAATTGACTTGGCCAGTTTTCAGATACAGCTTGTCTTTTTTTTAACTGTGGCACAGAGTCGTGGTTTACTGTATTTGTTTTGCGCTTCTCTGGTATCTTGGGCGATGGATTTGTTCTTTTTTTGGCAGGTTTCAGCTACACCATTTCTGGATCTCTTTCTTGGTTTTCCCCTCGCCTTTCTCTCTGATATTCTGCTGTAAAACAATCTCACATACAGTTTTGTCTGGCTGCGTTTTCACTGGATGCCCAAACCATTCCATTCTTTGTCAATCTATGTAATTCAGACGTGGTTTTATTTTAACGTTCTGTCCAATGCTGGTATTCCTAACCATACCCCTTCTTGAGTTGTCAGTAACCTTAAGACAGCACATTTCACTGATCGCAGTTGTATGTTCTAGTGCCCTGTTCGTTGTCCATGTTTGGCACTGAAAGCACAGAGTAGTGACGAAGATGCCATTAATAATTTGTTGTTTTGCTGGAAGCAAGACATCTGGGTGTCTAAATAGTGACACTTCCTGCTGGGTGACACTTGTATCTTTATGGGAGGGGCAGGGTAAAAAAAGACGAGGGGTGGAAAAGGGAGGGGAGGGGGGGTTTGGTTGCAGGTTAAGATTATCGTTCACTGACATGAATCACCATGTGCTTACTGGTGCCACGTTGGGAGTGACGGGATAGCAAGCATGCTAGCAGCAAACATGTCATAAAAGGCTACAGATCATGAGTGGGTTCTTCCAAGTCGGGGTATGTCTACCTGATAGGCGAAGAACTAACAGTCTGCATACAAATAGGCACACACACACATACGCATACACACACACCTACAATAAAACCTCATTAATTCCAAGGCACCGTAACAATTGAAAGTTCGTGATTTAAAAAATTTATGCGAACAGGAGATTCAAAGTAATGCACCTCTCTTGCAGCCAGAATCGTATTCATGTTTGCCTATTGTTGTTTTTAACTAAGTTCATGTTGACAAAGTTCTGCTGTATATAAGTTAGTAAAAATCCATTTTCACGCTCTTAGGCGCATCAGGCATATGGGAAGAGCACCCATATTTTTTCAGACCAATCGGCACTTGGTAGGTAATGTGGTCAGCATTACGCCGGCTGTCTTCATTTCCCCAGGGCATACATCCTGTTAGCCATTTTAGGCTGCTATGACAAATACCATGTATATATACATACCATATATATATACTGAGAGGCCATGTGCGCTTATTATACTAAGTGTTTTTTTTTTTTGTGTGTAGGGTTTTACATTATAATATTCTTTATCGATCACTGCAAAGAGCAGATAGGAAAAGGCAG